AAAGGGAAAGTAACCCTTGCTTCGGTATAACAAAAATTCGTTATAACGCATTTCGTTATAACGGGGTCCGACTGTATGTTTAGCACCCCGACTTATAATTAAAGATTTCCTAAATTAGCACGATAAATATTGACACATAACAAAGTTCGGTATTATTATGACGAACTTCGTATAGCATTACTGTATATATACATATATTTGAACAACATATTAAACTCATGTAATAAAAGTGTCTAATTTTCACCCATTCAAGCTGCAATCATTGTTTCGGATCAAAAAAGTATGTACAGACACGTTTAGAGGATTTTAATGGGAAAATAAAGATATGCACGTGATTATATATAAAACTTCATGGAGATAGAAGTTCGCTTTAACAAAGTCTTTGGCGGAACGGAGACCTTTATTAAAGCGTGCTTTTATTATGTACATATTCACTCTTGATAAGAGTCGGATTGGCTTAACTCGGACAAATTTTATCTAGACGTTAGACTTCCATTTAATAGCAACAAAACTACACATAAAATTGTTTGTCACCAGTTTTAAATCTCTGTGCAGGTTTTTGGAGAAGATTGCAACGAGTCGCAATCTTAATGCTAACAAAGACTAACGTTTTTTGCTGCCCGATCGCTTTTTAAAGCTAAGCTAACGAATTTTTTTTCCGCTGATTTGATTTTGCAATAAAGTCAAAATTGAACCGTTAGTATTAGTCTTTTTCTGAGGCGAACCAAGATTGATGACCAAAACGTGAGTTTCTAATGCTGAAATAAAACCACACCTTCTTGAACGAAGATGCAAGCATAATCACGTCGTTACTCGAATGCCGATGTGAATGCAAATCGATCGTCAATGTTAGACTTTTGATGAAAACATAAATCATCCAATTTGCAGCCGTAGACACGCAATAAGTTTTGTCCCCAAACCCCCCATTTTGACATTGTAATTTTGCATAACTTTGTATATAAAATAAAGTTGTCATTAGTCATTTATGTCACATAATAGGGTGTTTCCTTTTGTCTGTGGCCCCATATAACATGATAAATTTTAATAAATACATCAACAATATGGTAAATTTTCAATAATGCATGGACAAGTGACCCCTGAAATTTCTCGTGGCGCTTTTCACTTTGTCACATGCGGTAAAACGAATAAAGCAACGATCAACCTAATGTTGCAAACGCAATGACAGCATAACACACAAATACGGAGAAGAGGAAAAATTGCGAGAATATAAAGAAGGTTAAATACCTGATCACCAGGTCGCTTGTGTTCATGTTGCCTGAGAAAATAGAGGTGGGTTTGTTAACTCTATCGTAGATAGTCGACATACATGCATATTCTCAGTGCATACTCGGCACATGCAACCCCAGCAGCATGTATTCTGCATACGGCATTTATCCACAATATAAAATATAATACAACATAATGCCGCATTTTAAGATTTCGTTACTGTAACCAATAGTGCAGAAGAGCGTGGAATGAACAAACAATACAATTGCAAACATGGTTGTTTACTAATTCCCGCCTTGGAGCGGAGATCGTTTCGAGCTGTCATCGACATGGGATGATTACCACCAGCTGTCAAAGCCCGAGTGATAGTAATAGTAAAAAAGGGGGTGCTGACAAAGCTGTTAAGAAAGTATTTACCAAACTACTACTCCGATAACCATTCCTTATATATCCTCCCTTGCTCATGTAGGTGCAGCTAATAAAAATTTGCGACATTGTCGCCACTTCTCATGTAAATCACTCTGCTAATCAATCTAGTGATAGTTCGTCTCTCAAACAATAAAAAAAAAAAAGTCGTTTCACTCGAATAATAATATCCCACAGACAAACAAAGAACACGATTTGACACTGATCACACTCCACATTTAATAATTACAACTCCCCGGATAACTTGAGAGAAATCTCCGACCCAAAATATAAACGTATATTACATTACAAACATAATCTTCTACCATCAGCCATACAACTATATTCCCTTTACTCCTCCCAAAGACTTATGGACCAGCCTCTTATACACGCTTCAGCTCGCAAATATTACAGACAATTTTGTCAACAAGGTGGGTGGACGCACCAAACGCACTTGCGTAACTTTAGTTTCCCTCTTCACCTCGTCTCACCATTCTTTATTCCAGTTGCCCACTATCTATCATTCTTCGGACAAAACTTCGAGCCGTACGCCGAACAAAACCAATTTGTATCTTTACTCCACACGACTAAGCCATCTTCCTCTTTAACTACTTCTAGATTTTCATCTATACTCTCTTCCTTGTCTGCGCTGTCCCTTCCTTTCTCTTCTCTTGAGCCACCATATCCATCAGATCTTAATACAGTCATTCATCTCGGAGATTCCCAAAAACGCGTCTGCAACGTTTACAAACTCACTGTCGAGGGCGAAATTTATTATGTTGCATATGTCGGACATCTATCTCGCGATCTGGAAAATGTGAAACGATTTTATTCCACGAGACCTGTTCCGCGAGAACGAAGCGTACAGCTTTATGATGGGAGCAAGAAAAATGGAAAAGATGATAACAGTTTACGCGGAAAGAGGAAAAGCAGCATGGGAGACAGGATAAAGGCTGCATATGCTGAACAAAAGACCGAGTTAGATTATATGGATCCGTTGAAGGAGTATCTGAGTGTTACAGTGGATCACGATGGTGAAGAAGTTCTCGATGTACACGCAGAATTTGGTAAGTTTGCTGTTTACGCAAACATCATTTCAGATTGAGAGTTTTCAAACACTTGGCATCTCACTGCCCCCGCCATCTTTATTCTCTTCCCCCTATCAGAAGAGAATCCCGTGACTACGGAACCAACTTTCGAGGATGTGATGACTCTCTGGGTTGCTGTCCTAATGTGGAGCGTCCAATCAGTTGTTGATCATCAATCATACACGCAAACGGCTTCGCGGATCAGTGGGAAGATTTACGCGTTAATAAAACAACACGGGGTAGGGGGACTGGTGAATTAATAATGAATGGGGGAAGATGGATACAGGGTAAAAAGAAATATTATGTAACTATGAACATTGTCGATATGCTATACTAAAATCTTTTGTTTCTGTTTTTTCTTTTTTAAATAAATTTTCCAACATGATTTGCATAATGAGTACAATCAATAATAAATTTTGCTCTCTAATGATTAAATACTGTTATACGAACTCATTCAGTCGTTGGTGCACTCGGGTCGCCAGTGATCCTCAAAGTTGGTTTAGGAACGTTCAATAAAGGATATAAACGATCTCTTATTTCCTTTAGTTTAGATACTGGGTCGCTCCTACATAAATAAACGAGTTAGATATCCCAATAGATTCGAGTGAACTATATATGGCAGGACAAATACCAATCAATAGTCGACAATATCTCTTCAATCTCAACCATCTCATCTGGTTCATCCTCAACTACAGTTGCTGTTAAGGTTATGTATAGCTGGTCCGCTGCTAGGCGACGAATCTGGGAATGACGGAAATGAAGGGAAAAATTTGAGTATTATAATTATAAAGTGTTTTAACAGGTTATCCGCGAACAGACGCCTTACCTTAGGAAACGGATGAACCAGATAACTAAGTAAATGTTGCAACGCTTTTGTACGAAGAGTTCCTCCCAACGTTACAAACCCACAATAGCTGAAATACAAATAAATGTCTTCAATCGACTTTGTAGCCATATTTAAAAATGCACATGTCAATATCTTTTACTTACACTCGCACACCAGCACCGAGTTTTCTGATATCTCGGCATTTGGATACTTCCTTCTTCACCTTGTCAAACAGCTCCTGAAAACTGTTTATTTATAACATACAGGATGCTGGTTACGTTTGAACGTTCTTGATCATATTTGAGCAGTGTACACGAAGACATCACGATATCCCTAACACTTACTCAAATCCACAGTCAATGCCTTTCTGCAGAGCCCCAGCCTCAAACAATAAATCGATCACTTCCAACAACGGCACCACCACTCGATCCTGTTTCTCGTACACGCGGAAGACTTCAAGGAGTGTATTGGCAAAGTCCAGCAGAGATATGGAAGAGGTGTCTGTTGCAAATGGTGGAAGGGAGCTAGCATACTTTATCAAAGTCGCGCTTGAATAGCGGACCTTTGTGGAACAGCGGTAAAAGAAGAAACATTATCCTAGTTAATATACATGTGAAAGGACTTGGATAATCACAAGCTTTACACGAACTTAAAGAGTAAGGAAGAAATCACACTTTTGCAAATTTAAAACCTCAGCGAGCATAAAAAAAAAGAAATGTAATTTCTATAATAGAACAGGTAAATATAAACTGCATTTTTCGCCAAAAACTAATGCCTGCGCCTCCCTCCAATTATGTCTTTGTCTTGCAATCATTGGGTATGGCAGATAATGAAAAAACTACAAACCAGTGATTCTGTCATCCCTCCGGCTGCAACTACTAGGCCTGCTAAGAGATCAAATCGATATTCCGGAAGCACGAGAAGTTGTATCATCCTCGGATACAGCTCCGACGGATTTATCCAATGTATTTCTTCATCTCTAAGTGTTAAAACATCTGTTATGTTAACGTAGTTGCGGGCCCATCCGTCTACTTTTATCAATCTTCTAATTACCACTTCACCTTTACGCCAACGAAACCACTCTACCATGTCGCCTCTCATTACCCTGCATTTTACCTGTTCAAAACTCGTTCCAAAACGCTCCTTCCATTAATGTCCAACACCCATTCTCCAGTCATTCTCTTCTCATACAACAAATCTATCAGAATCGTTCCTGCACATGCTCTAATCTTATCAATCCTCTCCACGCTCTGTTTCAACAGCTTTTTCACTACTTGTGTCGACAGGTCTTTTGTCCACCATTGTGGAGACGTCGGATCGAGATCGTCGTTGCGCGTGATGAGAGGAACATAAGAGCCGAGACTCTTCATGCCGACTTCGCGGACCCAGGATCCAACGTCGCCTCGTTGGTCAATACTAAAGTCTTCGAGACTGGCGAAGTACGCATTTAAGATTTTATTAAACAAGGTGTGGGTCATAGCTTGTTTGGGTAATGCAAGAAGATAAGGATGGATTGGAATCAGAAAACATTAGCATTTCGTTTTTGCATTTGTAATATTATTATAAGGTTCAAACGTAAACAAACAATTTCATTCTATTCAAAGATTCTCTTATCTTTCCCATCTCTATTCTCCTTTCCTTTCTACTTACTGCTCTTAAAATCATCTCCTAAATTCTTTGCAATATTACTCAGCGCAATAATAGCATTTCGCCTAGTTTCTGCGTCATTCCAAACTTTCGTCTTCTGTACCCGCGATGATTCGATCAACGCGTCCACCACTCGCTCAAGTTCTTGTGGAACTTTTTTATACTCTAATACACCCAATGCGAGCGAAAAACCTCGCCTGTTGTAAGCGTTCTTCGATGGATGAATACGCTCGATGTAGGTGCGCCGCGAATCAAGGATAGAAATTGAGAAGATAAGCCATGGGACTGGTTAGTCTATACAATGGAAACTCACATTAATCTTGATAAAAAAAGGATATACATCGATCTCTTCCGAGTCAATTCCGTACTGTGACATAACGGCTTCGACAGCTCTAACAGCAAGTTCCTGTCCGTATTCATCTTTTCTTCTCAGCAAATCATACACAACGTCCTCCCATACTACTCGCGTTTCCTTATCAATTGGCCATTTTGCTTTAGCCAAACAAGCAATTAGATGTGATGCTCCTTGGCATGTTAGTTCTGAACCAAAATCCGCGAAAAAGTGTCCTGGAATATTCGAAGGTATCATTGCAATCGACTTTAACAATGAGAGGAGATATGTAGATAGACGATATGATAAGTAAATATGAAGGCGAACGTAAATATAAACATTTCTATGCACATAAGATAAATATACCCTACCGTAACTAAATCTTTATGCTTATCAACCCATTCACGGTTTTCTCCATGTAATTTTGCCCATGCCAAACACACTTCACCAACCGCCAGTAAAGCGCCGTGATGTGTTTGCAAATCATTACATATTGCTTTTGGGATCTATTCAACTCCAATAATTAGCCAATCTTAATAGAATTTTGTCATTTCAACTGCTTTACTGTAAACCAGTTTATTATTCTTACCAATGAAGGAAGAACTTTCGACACCATGTGGTCAACATCAAGAAAAGTGAGATTATGCAAGGCCTTTGATGCTAGTTCGCGGATATTCTTATCCCAGTTTGAGATTGTTATTGTGACGAGATGGTTTATTAGATGATACCTGTATTCTAAGTAACTGATGGAACGTGTAGAGATAATCGACAATAGTTAGACGGATTAGTCGGAATTCGTTGAAAAATCAAGATTATGTTAATTCAAATTTACTCTGCGATTTTAACGCTTATTTCCAAGAAGGAGTTCACTCGATTTCCAACCGTAAAATAGTCGGCAGTCGTGATGATATCAATCCCATGCGGGAATATACCCTACAAAAGCATAAACCAACCGTTCACTCTGCAGATACGCGTTTCTTTTCCCTTGTCACTGTTTTGAGTATCAATCTCTCACAAACCTGTCTTCCAACGTTCTCTTGAAATGCAGCACTACTTGCTCGCCGAACGTTGACTTCTCGATCGAACACAGATATCACCACAAGAGAATTGGCCAATTCTGATGCGTGGGAAGCCAGTACTGCAGGCTCATATGCCCGGGCAAACGACCAACAAACATAACACGCTGCATCACGCACATGAGAGCCAATTGAATAGTTTCCACGACGTAGGTCAAATTTCAGAGCCTTTTTTGGTAAGAAAAATGCCAATACGCCATTAAGTTTAGCATGTAAATAGATCTCGTCTTTATTTCTAAAACTCTACCTTAATCACCCACGGAAAAACTTCATCAAGTCGCTTAGGGAGCAACAATCCTCGCCTTGCCAGTTCAGCTACTGCTAAGCACGCACCATGCCATGTATTGTCAGACACGGAAGACAAGTCAAGTACATCGTCTCGCATAAAAGTATTTTCAGAGAAGAGTTCTAATAAGGAGCCAACAACATCATCCGCTAGTTCTTGAGGAAGTCTATGGGTCAAACGGCCAATTCCCTTGGCAGCTGACCAACGGACTACAGTATCCTAGTTATTTGGAATTTAAAACGACACAACGGTTGTACGACAGAATTGCCCATATGAGTGTAATTATATTAATTATCTTTTTTCCTCCTTTCATCACTTTACCAATTTTTTCTTGCACACCGAATGTCATACCTTATTACGAAGTCCCTTAAGAAGCATTTCTATTATTTCTTCTATTTGCTCAGGAATTTCCTCATCCGCGTCATCATCGATAGACATTAAATTTTGGAGAACGTTTGAAGAATCTACGTCCGCGTTCGACGCTTCCAGATTGTCTTTCAAGGATCTATTACCTTTCAAAAAAACGAAAAAAAGAAAAAACAAACTAAATTCCAATAAACACTTGCTTGGACCATTTCATATTTTACCATTTTGTTGCCTCAATTACCTCGTTGATATCTCCAGGCTGCAACTTTCGGTCTAAGATAGCACATGCCAAATCTTTGAGACAGTTTCACAAGTAGTTTTCTTACCAAAGTATTATTTGCAAAGTTCTGATTTGTTTCGGTAAGAAATAAACACGGCCATACAGTATCGACAGTGGATAATAAGGTGCCACGATGGCCTAGTTTATATATCGCGCATAAAGATGTAAGTATTCCAGTAACCTGGTGCAATAGAAGAAGGGATGTAAGAATTGAACCATCTTTTTTGTGGACAAATAAAGTAAACGTGGTGCAAAATTCCTGCAGATAACCTACAACAAAAACGTTTTCATAACGCTTTGCTTCTTCAGTTGCCCATTGAACATAATCTGATAAATAAGCTTTGGCTATATCACGTCTTTACACAAGGTATATTATACGTAAGAAATCCAATGTACTATAGTTACAACTCATTTAATAACAGCCCCCAAAGCATATCACACCTTGTTAGTAAACGCGACAAAAGTACAGCAGCTCCATCGCGTTCTTTTCCAGTCGCGTTAAGATAATACTTGGATAAAGTAACCATTTCATCGACCAGCGGGATCTAAAGTTGTGATGGAATTTTTTCACGTTGCACATGAAAGTGAAAGAATTAGATGTGTCAAACACAGGCGCAAAAAAATAAGCCCAGCAACTGCCCTGAACCGTTGCCTTTTAAATACACCCCTTCCCTTTCCCATTCTATATTGGTTAGATTTTCATTCAAACCTTATCACTATCGGCCACGGCTCGACTGTCGACAGTTTTCAAATCAAATGGAATCATGCAGATAAGAGATAACCAGATCAGGAGAACGTATCTCATCTCCCATGCATCATAGTCGATGGGTGAAAGAGAACTCAGGAAGCAGAAAGTCGGTTCGAGATCAGAGACTTCATGTGTGAAGAGTTTGACTTTGGTGGAGTGAAATAAATATTGTGATAGGCATATTAATCATTTGAACAAAAGATTACGTACGCTTTTCGTATCCCAAATAGTATCCGTCATTTGTACATTCTCGTTGCATTCTTGTCCTTTATCTCCTCTGCCCACCGGTCCAAACTCACCAACAGTCTTATATCCCCTAATCTTCATAATATAATAGATCAACCTAAATAACCTCTTCATCGTTTTAGATACCTGAACTCGTTCTTTCCTTTCTTCTAATGATTTAGACAGATAAATATTTTCCAGCGCATGAGATTTGATGTATGTGCGGAGAATTTCGATCACAGGTTTGACCATGTTTTCCAAGTGCGGATCTAATAGATAGGGTTGTTCTTGATAAGGATCAATCTGTAGTTTAAGATAGGTGGAGGGTTACAATAAGAGCAAATGAGGGAGTGTTTAAAAGTTTGTAATTAGTTGCACTCCTAATGATTTACGGCGAAAAAAACTAGCAACGAATTATCGGTGATTCAGCGGAAAAACGCGCTAATGCGTAATTCCAGAACTTTATAAATTACATGCTTGTCTTTTGAATAATCAATTGACCATTCTCTCTTATCATTCATGTTTCAAATTATTATTTAATACCCATAAACGTACAAGTGCAATGGCTTTCTTCAACCATTTATCCTCCTGTACTTCATTATGCTCTTCGACACTAAACGCTTTTTCAGTTAAAGCTTTTAGGGCAACGAAGAATTCGTCGGCCTGCTCGAAATGTGAAGACTGCTTAACACATGAGTCATCTTCGAAAGAATCCTTTCCTTTTTTTGCTCTTTCCAGGATATCGCGATCTTGATCCCAATGGTCGAGCACCATGGCAAAAACGGATTATCGCTGGTATAATCTAATAATAATAAAGGTACCTAAATATTAGTTTTGCACGTGGTCTTCGCAATTGTCCTTTCATGATTGGTAGGGGATACTGCGTATAAACTTAATAGTCTCGTCCCGTACAAAATTATTAATCAGACATTATATTGACAGACCAAATTCTATTAATGTTATTGGTGGTTATTGGAGTTATCGCTTTAACTCCAATTAAATAATATTAATATCTTTAACCAATTGTCCGTGGTCATTGTTTCTCTGTTAAAGTAAAGATTATTTGAGCAGATCATCTATTCACCGTTGCATTAATACTAACTTTACCGCGAAGAATTGAGTAATCAATTGCTTTTTGCTCTTTTTCAGGAGAACACTTCTCTGCGGGTTTTTATTTCTTTATCTTTAGTTTGAGCTTGTTGATTTACATTCCCCAAAATTCCAAGCAATGCTTTAAATTCGATCTCTTTGTTAGGGCTAATGTCCCCACCTACTTCTCGGAACAAACGGTCTTCTAATATTTCTACCGCTAGGCCAATCTTATTTCCATGTGACCCCGACTATTAACTAGTTGGTAAAGGTCTTAATTATTTCTCCTTTCTTTTTGTAACATACACGGATATAACGAAGTGGTCCGTTCCGCCCTTTTTCTTCGTTATAGCAGGTTTTCGTTATATCCAGGCTTCGTTATATCCAGCTTCACTGTGTACTTAATAAAGAAATTCAATCACCAAGTAAACTGTTGATATTTTTTGCTTTGGCTTTAGCAGTTTTATAAATGTTTAGGAACTCCGCTGCATCTTGAAGTTTAGCTTTATATAAGTTTCCCTCTCTATCATTTAATTTAGAACTTCGAATATTTTAGCAGTTTTTTCTTCCTTGAATTTTACCACCATAATAATTGGAATATGGTTTTGCTTCTCCTACTGTATTTATATCATTTTTTGAATGTCATGATTTTAATCCTTATTATATTTTAACATTAAAAGATTGAATATAAAATCTAATAGAACAAACAAAAACTAGTAAAATAATAAAATTTGCGATTGACTGAAATATTATATCTTTGAATTCATCTCTAACAAATGGGCAAGTATTATGAATAAAGATATTCTTGTCTTTTGTAATCCAAAGGAGGTAAAGTTAGAACTAAAATAGAAAAATTTTGGTAATTTGGAAACACTTGTTTTTCTGGTTTTCAATAAATTAGATTCAGTAAAAGCACTATTAGCAATCAGCTGAGCTTGACAATACCAGGTTTGGCTGCTTCGAATGCAAAACGCTGATACTTTTGCAAACCATTTAATTTCTTAAAGAAAATTTCCAACACGGAATTAAGATCTAAGTATTGAAAGCTTTTCCGTTGTCATAACGCTGGGCTTTATTTTAATCTCGCAATACTCGATTTTTTCACAACCTCGACAATATGACCCAAACAATCTACTGTCGTCTTTCTATAGAACTTTTTAATCAGCCCGAAACTATCGTTACATTTGAATTTAGTATGTCCCGATACCATAAAATTTAATTCCATGCTTTCGTAATAGCCGCAGATTCCTAAATATAGGTAAACTTCAATGCTTTTCGCCTTTATTCAATCGCTTAATCCCACCGAATACCAGATAAATGTACTTTACGCGGACTAAGATAATAAATTTACTTGCCTGTTGATCGGAATGGGGAACGTGAACGTTTTGTGCCCAATCGTAACTGTAATGAGCAGTCGTATCAATGCTACAGTAATCAACTTTATCGCATGTTCATCTACCAATTTTTTTGCCAATTTTGTAATAATTTTTTTCTAATTTAGTCTTAACTAAATGTTCCTAGCAAATTTTTCGCTTCTTTTTCCTTACGAGCATTATACTGTAAGCCATTCAGGAAATGTTGACAAGTATTGCATAACACGTAAATCTGTATAAGGTGTTAATTGGTGCCATAACTTGCGAAACGCATCATATTTTAACAATCTCAATGTGCTATCATTTTCAGAGACCTGCAATAAATTACGATAGCCTGATCTGTAACTTGTGTCAGCTGGTAAAAGCGTAAGCGATTGCGTAATTTGATAAGCATTTTTACCCGGACTTGGTAACATAGTTTCGATAAAATTCTTTACGGCGGTAGCAACGGTTATTATTATATCAATGGTTATTATTATTTGATTTTCCAGCGCGGCACTTTTTTATATTACGTGGTTTCTGACATTCTCAAAGTGAGTGCGACCAACCCCTAACATATTAAGATACGTTTTCTGGCAAAGAGACGTATTGCGATCTCAATAATAAAAAGTTCTCTTATTAGTACGCGTTTTTTTAAGACGTCAGCTGGCAGTTATTTCTCCTCTATTCATTGCTTTCAGCTAAGCTATTAAAATATGTCTTGCTCGGGTCTAGAGAGAGCTTGAAACGCCTCACGTAACTCGGCAAAAATCTTTTTTTCGTAATTTTTTTTGAACAACCATCTCCAAAAAACACATTGCTTTTTCATATTCGGTGGAACCATTGTATTCATATGGGGCAGACTGCAACAAAACCAGACACAGTGAACGTTTTATAAATGAGAGGCTGATTATGATGTGGCTGTAAAATTGACCAGGGTGATGTTTTGGAAGGTAATAATGATAAATGGTGCTCATTCATAACTTATGGACTGGTTAATTTTAATTCTTACTTTATTATACCAGAAGGTGAGGAATATAAACCATAACAGGATTAATATAGGATTACCTCTATATATAAAAATATTAATATGAAACTAATTTACATCAAGTCCACTATGGAACCAAAGAACTACAGCACCATTAGAAGTATTTTAAAGAAAGAAGTGGAAATAACATAATTATGTTATTTCCACTTAGTCTAGGTTATTCCCACTCAGGTATGTGTCGTGATCCAAATTT